TTAAGTGTGCTAATAAAATGTGTATTACTTCGTTACTACAGATTTTATTTCTGTAAGCCACTAAGATCCCCCAACACTGTAGCAAATTTGCAATGTTCTAGAGAGAGGAAAAGGTCCATTGTGCAAGGGACTCCAAAAAAACTTGATGACAATGATATAGGAGAAAATTAACTCGCAATGCTAACCATTTGATTGACAGGAATGCACAGCAACCATCTGATCTGCGCCTATGGGCACAATTTGTTGACTGTCCCCCTAGAAGTAATTGATGATAAGACACCCCCCCCCCCTCCCGGCACTCACGTGGATTTGATCGGCAGGTCACCCCATGCATGCTGCACTACTTCTGGCGGCACCTAGGTATTAGAGGCTGGGGTGAAGTAAAGTCAGGTGTGACCCTTCTATGGGCTTGTAAATAACTCTTTTTCCATCAGTGCAACGGGACTTGCTTTTTCACACTTCCCAAAAAGATAATCTCTCTGCAAGGGAAGTTCTCGCTTGATACATAAGCACGTGTTACCAAAACTGTCATAGCATGACTTGACACGCTATTCGGTGTGACCATTCGATCTCAGTGCATTGTGGTGCTTACAAAATGCACCATTATTAGCCCAATAGCCTTGATAATGGTGGATCAGAATATATTGAGCCATTACAGAAAATGTTAGTATGTACTCCCTCCGTACTAATATAAGAGCGTTTAGAATACTAAAGTAGTGATCTAAACGCTCTTATATTAGTTTACAGAGGGAGTATCAGTTTTATTGGCAGGTAGGCATTTCCAGTAACATGTACCAAAGTTATTTTTGTACTTAGGTAACTTTTCTACTGATGAACACGCTCCTATCAGTCGATACACTATTACTATTGAAACGGGTGTAATTATCAACAAACAATCAACTGTGTACCTTCAGATCACGGGAGCCCGTCCATACTTTTAGAAGTAATTCAAATACTGAATTCATGAAGGACCTGACAATGGAATATTGCGCAGATGGCAAACCAGCTTCCATTACATCTAATAAAAATAAACAGAAAATGATCTATGTCAAATTGAAACTTACATAACATCATCATCAAAAGGAAGCCCTGAAGAGGCGTCTCCTATATACACCCATGCAGCCTGGCACCAACACTTTAATGCTGCAAAGGAAACATGGTATCAATTAATTCAGAAGCAAGAACGTATATATTTTCAGAAATTTCTGGAAATATATTAGTACAAATGAGAGCATAGACTGATAACTGAAGGAAATTGCAAAAGGAAGTACCATTAGCAAATACAGGTCGTTGGCCATCTCGTACACTTCCTAGGATAGGTAAAACGCGCAAAAGTACATCCTTCAATCGTGGAGTGAACTGCAGGGCTTCAAATAAGCAAGAACAAGTTGCAAATTCAGCAGTCCAACCAATTCAGGTGGAAATTAAAATAAAAAGAATGTGTTTAACCTTCAGCAGATGCAAAGTCTGCAAGTATCTGTAACATGGCTGGCAAAGCAGAAGTTGGGCCAGAGAAGTAAAGAAATATCTCCTCCATCATCTACAACGTGTTAGGTTGGTACTTATGAGAATACTAGCAGAAAGGCACAAAACGAACAGTCGACTGATGATGGTCATATCCTTCAAAATACAAGTTCTCCTTAGGCAGTCATCCAAGAGAGAAGTGGGTATCCAGCAATGTAGACTTTGGGAAGAGCAAATGACTTCTGACATATAAGTTTACCAAAGCTAATGTTAACCCACAGCATTAATAGAACACTATTCCTGAATTAACATGAAACTCAGCTGGGTATCTTCGGAAAATAAAGATTAGTGAAGAATTGCCAAATACAAAAGTTTGGTATTGAAACTTGCAACAGACTTGAGTGTGCACCCAAAATAATTGGTGCTAGAATGCAAACTCCGAAACAATAATTAAGTCATGCTTGCAGTTACAGAATCCTTCAATCAATAACTCTCCAAGAGAAATGAATTTTTTTAGGGGAAATTTACTCAGTAGCAACCAGAGGATGTAAAAATGCAAGAGATGGCACTGAAAAAGTGTTGCATCATGACAGTATCCACTATTGTTTTCTCAGATGCACTTTTGGGGTTTGGCCCTTTTAGTTACGCAGTGACCATGACCCCATTTTTTCATACCTAACAAATTCGACCTTATTGAAGTAGCCTTACTCCTAGTAGTTGACATCTATAACAAGTTTATCCACGAACAGAAAGTATAATGGTTGTGCAAAAGGTATACCAAATCTGGGTCATGTGACCCAATGGCAACAAGAAGAGTAGCTGCCGCTCTTTGCCAATCAACATTGAAGTCCTGTTCACCAAAGAACACCACTAGATCAACCAACAGATAAACAAAGGCAGACAAAACAGAAAAACTAGAAAACAAATCAAAAGCTGTAAAAAGAAACATGATGCATCCTTGCCATTGCAGAGCACTAGAATAGCACCTATTGTAAACAGATAGCATTATGAATGTTCAAAGCCATGGCAAAAAGAGAAGAATAAACTTGAAAAACGGGCCATGATTCTTGGCTGCAGAAAATCAGGGCCGTTTCTGCAAATAAATAAATGCCTGGAGTTGAGATGCTTGGTGGATGCCAAAATTACTTGAGTTAAGAAAGCTAGCTACACCTATTACATCAATCTGAAATTAAGAGCCAATAGGTGTTACAGAAGAATGGTACGCACACAATAGATGTAGGAGTGATAATAAAGTACCGAGCACTGAAACTTGAAAAATACATAAATATTAAGTTTCAAAGAATTCAGACTGTAACATGCAGTTGAAGTATGCAACAACTCATTGAACGGCAATGAACAAATCACTCCAGCTTCTGAGGAGGCAGTGGGAAACCTTTTAACTTGATGGTGCGATAAGTGAAGTATGTGATGGTCAAAATGTTCCATGGCATCTTATACTCAAGCAGGGTCAGTTCATGAAAATAATTGTAACCCAGTGTGACAGTCACAGCAGAATAGGATGCCTAGTGTGTAAAACTTGTGACATCCCTATGTATGGCAAGAACATTTATGTCAACTGTTCAGCCAACGCCACAAAATCCTCTCCAGTTATGTAACGGGGTGCCAGAAATGAAGGCGTGTGAAGCCGCAAAAAAGTACTGCCTCATTCTCATCTCACAGTTCCATATTGAGCTGGAAGGAAAAAAAACAAGGACGCGGACTGAAATCGTTCGACAATACCTTTGAGCTAACAATCTCTGCGGTGGCAATCTTGGCGATTTTCCGGAGGAACTCGCGCTCGGCATCCCGGCGGTCGAGAGCCCTGACGGCGGAGGCCATGACGAGGAAAACCCCGGCCATGTTGCCAAAGCGCTGCAGCAGTCCACATCAACCAGACAGAAGCAATTCACACCCAAAGCCGAAGCGAAACGGAAACGCGCGCCCAAAATGAAGAGGATGCTTTTAGGCGCAGAGGCGCGGGGGAGGGGAGGGGAGCTTACCCGGTGGCCGCCCCGGGAGACGGTGGCGCAGCAGTCGAGGACGAGCAGCGGGTTCCTGCACCCGGCAACAAGCAACGAGCGACGGGTTAGTAACTAATCATCCGCCAGCCAGAGCCAATAGGCGGCGGAAATCGCTGGGTCACTTACAGCGGCGCGATCTCGCGGAGCGCGGCGAGGGCGGAGTCGCGGGCGCGCGGGGAGTCGTCGGCGAGCGAGGCGACGAGGACCTGCACGGCCTCTGCGGAATGAGGAGAGTCAGAGAGAGGGTGCTGCGGCGGAATCGGAGACGGACGTGGCGGGGGAGGGGGCGTGGGCTCACCGAGCGCGGCCGCGGACGCCGCGGCGGAGGAGGAGGAGGAGGAGGACGCCATGGAGGAGATCCGCGGCCCGGCGCGGCGAGGAGGGGAGAGGGGAGGCGGGCGGGGACAGCTCAGAGAGGTTCGAGTCCCGGGTGGCGTGACACGATGGGGGGTGGTGAGGTCACTCCGTCTCCGTCTCCATCCGGGTGCCGCCGAAGGGGGCCGAGGGAAACTGACGAGGAGAAGCGGAGGGATTGAACCACAGTTGGATTTGGACGGGGCCGTTTGATCTCGACCCATCCATCGGCAACGGAACGTGCCGGTCTATCATGCTGCGCCCGTCCGTCGTCTTCCTCTCGGCCGCTCTGGCCTCAACAGTTTCATCTGAATCTTCACCCTACGGTAGCATCTTTCAGCTAAAATTCCACCGTCTCCATCAGCATCTGTGGTAACTTTGAGATGACAAATCTACTCGTTGTGAAGTGGGATCGGGACTCTGCTCCTACGTCAGGAGGTTGGATTTTTTTTTGGAAATTCGAACGTCGCTGACGAGTGACGAGTTGCAAGTTGGGCGCACATAGTTTATCACCAGGACAACCTTGTTGTGCTGGCTCTTTCTTTGCTTCGAGCATCAGCAAATAGTTTAGCTGACGATTTGGGCGATTAGGGCCAAAATTTATCTGATCTCTCATCATTCCTTCCACTGAACTGCCCACCTGCTGGTCGTCCGGTGCACATCGACCTGCCAGCTACTTACTCCGTAACTCTGAACCTGAAAATTGCAACCAGATAGCCCGTCTAACATCTCCTCCGCGTGAAATATTCGCACTGTGAAAACCGGTCCGGCGACACGCACGTGTTGCTGCCGACATCACAGCCCCCCGCACCGCTCTGTGCTTGCATCCACACATTGGCACCGTACATATGAAGAAAGACTGGTCAGATGCTCATGATCTTGCAGCAAATTACAGCAAGGCACTGCGGCCTGTGGCTGCGAAAAACAAAAGACACATACCAGAAAGAAGCGCATGGATCACAAGTTGTGTGCATCACAATGATGCAGAGGCTAGGGGTTTGAACCTCCTTTTGAAAACGCATGGGTCGATCAAATGACTGTGGGATGACAATATACAACCACGAGAGTTCCCAAGGATAGACTATCATGAGGAAGTGGATCATGTACGAGCACATTAACTAGATTAAACAAGAAAAACTATCATTACGCCTATGGTCAGCTTCATATTTCCCCAGTGCCAAGCGGTTTCCGTGAAGAATCGCCCGAGGCCCAAGCTCGGTAGTCTTTATCAAGCTGAAAGAAACAGCAACAAAAATCAGCAGGTAGTGCTGGGCCAAGTATCAACACAAATACAAGAGGTGTTGCAGGCAACGAATGGTTCGACTCGAGACACTTCCAGCTGGCATTAATCAGCATAAACTAATTCATATATGAACTTTTAGGGGTCATCTAGTTTAAACATGAGAGTGATGATTGAACAAAACGCAAGTAAAGTAAACTAGACCATGCGTGACAGTTCAGATATCGATGAATGTAGCAGAACAAAATGTGATAACAGTGGCCACGGTTTCATCAAGAAACAAGCGTTGATAAGTGATAACCAATAAGCATGCGGATGCCTGCTCAATGGTAACTAACCAACCTGATGTTCTGCCCTTGTATGCAGCACCCAGCTGGAGCGAGTTACTGGGGTGCGGTGGGAGCGTGAGGCCTCAGAGCCGTGCTCCAAGTTAGTTGGCACAGGCTCGAACATTACCGCTCTCTGACGCTACGGTAAGCCACGCTGTATCGCCAGGCTGTGAGCATGAATCCTTGTACTTTTTTTCTATTTATGCAACTGTGCGCGAGTATTCTGTGTGTTTTTGAAATATAACTAATCAACATAGATCTAGTTCATGACTTCATATATGAGTAATGAAATGAAGGAGACTTTGATTTCCAGAGAAAAAAAATCTTCTGAACTTGGCGCGCTACTTTATTACTTGCATAGAAGTAGAACACATCCTTGAGTTTACTCCATAACAAAATTATATGAGGTTGCAATGGGAAAAAACGAGTCAGTACATTGAAGAATTTTTTTTCCCTCAAACACAGTGCATCGAAGAAATTAAAATTGCAAGCTGAGCTGATAAAAAATGGACTAAACAAAAGGTTGTCATAGGGAAAAGGCAAAGCAGTATTTTACTGACCTGCTTCAGAAATCGTGGAAGCATGACTCGGAGTAACTGCTCAAGCACTTGCCTGCCACTTGATTCGATAGCTTCAACTGGTAGTGCTTGAAATGGAAAGGGAATGTCAATTGCAACCTGAAAATTATCATACAGATATGGTTATGGTTCAGCCCAAGAACTTCCAGTGATGTTTAGATGAAGCCAGCTGAGAGCCAGAGACTGAATTACCTCGATTGTAGCATCCGATGTAAGCTGTTGAAGCGTCGAACCCTCTGAACTGCTGTTGCAGAAAACCCTATTTACCATGGAAGCTGCATCCGACAGAAAATCATGTCAATGATTTCCTGGGACAACAATTAAATATTTAATTTTTCGAAATGCTAAATACAACTACGAAATCATGTGTATTAATTAACATCGAATGAATCATGCAACTCTGTTGTGCCACTAAGTCTGACGGAAGAAAGTCCCTCCAATTATTTTTTACCGTGTGGATTGCGCACACAAACTGTTGAGTTTCCTTTTTTTGAATGTACCAATTATTTAGTTAGATAAATGCAAAGAGCAAACAACCCAAGAAAATAGTGACCACAGCAAATAATAAGGATGAACCGTGGCAAGCAGAGGAAACCAAAATGTCGGATGCATCACTATGATTGATGGGCTTCTTTTGGTCACCCCTTTGTAGTTTACTCGTCCAGTACAATGCAATTGCATCTCACAATCCACGTGATTTGTGTAATCCATGCTATCTGGCATCATCATAATTAAATGAATTCCAAAGCTTCTTTGAGGAATTGATCCCATCGTCGTAATTCAAAATTACGTGCAGTACCATTGAGACAGTGACTGAATTAGTATCAGGCAGTCTAGTCTAGCACGCTAAGCTATGTGCCAGGTATCTGGCCCAACAATGGAAGACGATACAGACATGAAGAGGCGGACAACCTCACCCGAGAATTTGTCATTCTGCGCCTCCACAAGGGGCGACCCCTCCAGCTGCACAACCAAAAACATTTTTCAGCACTCGCTAGTTGCAGACACATCATCCGCCGCCATTAGTGAAGCACTGAGTAGCTAGCTAGTAACTGCAGGATGCTGGATGCTTGCCTTGCAGGAGAGGAGGCGGATGCAGCAGCCGTTGGGCTCCTCGTCGACGCGGACGAGGAGGACGGGGCAGATCTCGAGCGCGAAGAAGCGGAAGCGGTAGACGTAGCAGCGGAAGGTGGACTCGTCGACGCGCTCGATGCGCTCCGCGTCCAGCACCGAGTACTGGCTCGCCGGCAGGCCCATGTACTCCGCTGCATACATATGCAGACATACAGACAGACAGACAGACAGTGACGTGTCAGCCAGGAGATCGCTGGGGGAGGTGAGGCTCCTGGTCGGGGCTGAGGGTGGGCGTTACCGAGGGGGCGGGCGAGCTGCTGGACGGAGGTGGACTCGGAGCGGCGGGCGACGAAGCGCGCCTTGGGAGCGGACGACACGGCCGAGGAGGAGGACGAGGAGGATGAGGAGGCGCAGACGACGGCGGCGGCGCGGCAGCGGCGGAAGGCGGAGGCGGCGGGCACGGGCGGCGGCGAGCGGAGGGACGCGGCCATTGGGGGCGTCGGTCGGCTCGGCTGCTTCCCCGCGGGCACCACCGGGCCTTTGCCGTGTGTGGTGTGGGGAGAGGCGGGGAATTTTGTGTTGGATGGATCTTCTTCCTCGTTCGCATTGGACGGATAAGATGCAGCTGGGGATGGGTAGGGTCTGGGTCGGGTCGGCCCTACCATCGGGTGGGCCACGAGAGGAATCTCTTCTGCTGGAATGTGGGGCCGCGGAAACTGTAACCATCGTTTCCTTCTTTTTTTTCTTCCCTGTTGATGTTGATGATGAAATGAATATTGACTCATCTTCCAGCACGTACGTACCTCCTGTGTCCACATGCGGCAGTCTCCGACTCCGAGGTGCTCGGCTCGCGGAAGCTCCAAGCCTCACACACACACACACACACACGGCCTTGCTTCGCCGTCTCTACTTCCTGTCTAAATCACATTATTATCTGATTATTATCCGGCAAAAGGACAAAGGCCCTGTTTGGATACTTTAACTTAGCTAGAGGTTAGAGTTAGTTTCTACCTCATGATTAACCCTAAACTAAGGCCTTGTTTGGATCATACTAAAAAGTCTCTAGTCCCTCCCTGTTTGTTTTCAGGTACTAAAAAGTCTCTAGTCCCTCACTGAAGGTTATTAAATGACATGTAAAAGACCATGTTACCCCTAGTATATAGAAAAATAACAACCAAACAATGTCATGGGACGGCGGGGCAATGGGTGCATAAAAGGGGCATTGTTGGAAATGTCTAAAAAAGACTCTCCTTGGGAGTCTTCCTCATTTAGTCTCAAAAAGCAACTTTTAGTCCCTAGTAGTCCCTCCTGTTTGGTTTAAAAGTCTCTAAGAGGGATTTTTTCTAGTCCCTACATTAAAAAGTCTCTGAAAATAAACACCCTCTAACTCTAGCCAAAGAAGTGTATGGATGATAGGGTTAGATTGTCAATAAATGCATTAGGAGAACTAGCTCCAATTAGCACCTTTTGAGATAATAAAAGCGCCCTTTATCGAAAAAGCTCCAATTAGCACCTCTTGGGTGGGATAGTTTTTTGAGGAGGATTTGATGCAACTAGCTCATACTAGCCCTCATGTTTGGATACTTTAGGGCTATTTGAGCCCAAACTAGCTCAAACTAATTCTACCCTATGGATCCAAACAGGGCCAAAGATATTTTCAGAAAACAAGGCAAAACTTTTGCCTGCCTACTAGTTAAGAAATGAATTGCCTAATAAATTAACAGAAAATTGACGAAAACTGTAACATACCCCATTAAGACGAACTGGTAACAACTATCGGGTCACTAATATTTGACTACATCTGTTTTGCTAAACATGTTTAATAGTGCATGCAAGAAACTGTTCAATAGTATAATCACCTAAAACTGTGTTTGGTCAGCGTGACAAATTTTAGGGCGAGTAAAACTCAACCTTTTGTAGAACAGGAGAAAAAACAAGTTTTAGTGGGGGGCACTATAAACTAGTTTAGCAGATTCTAAACTTTCATCGCACATAACATTCTCTACTCAAGGAGGTTGGCTTCCTCTTCCAAACGTCCCACGACCTCATGAGTTGCATGTCGCTGAGATTCATGATGAGACGTCAGGAGACCCCCGCACGCCGAACACCAATATACCAAGCGGGACGGACGACACCCCACCGATGCGGAGCATGAAGAAGAAGTGTGGGTGCATCTCGTATGTTTTGGTTGATTTATGACCAAATGGTTAAAGACGGAAATATGTTTGTGATTATACACACGTAAGTCCCTGGGAATTTGGTTTAACCGATGGTGTATGACCCCTAAAAATGTCAAGGAAACATTGAAGTGTTTAGTGCACTTATTGAAGAACTAGCTAAAGAACTGAAGCATGAAGATATAGCTCTTTACTAGTTCCTTTTGTTCTTCTTTGAGCCAATAGGGCAAAACGTACTGTTAAGGGGTCCACGTGTTACTACAATAAGTCTTCAGTTGTGGTCAATCGAACCTAGCTCTTCAGAGTTTAAGACTTGAAATCTCCTTTCGGGCAAAGTCTTCAAGATTACGCGTTGAGGGTGATTCTTTTGTATATCTGTGTCTGATTTCTTCGTCCAGGAGTTAGGTAACATGCTGTAAGATTAACATATGTTGGAGAATTTGATAGTTCAAAAATTTCCAATCATTGTGACAGTTGACAACAACACATTGGGTGTGTGTGTCCCGTCCAAAACTCATTCAGCCCCTCAGGTTGCGACCCCCGCTGTCAATAGCCCCCTACCCTCATAAGTTGGTGGTTGCTCCATGAGAACCGAGAAAAGTATTGTCTGAGCAACCCCTCCTCTCAAAGAATTTGAGTGAATCTTAAGTGAGGAAAGACAACAAAGCCTAAACATATAAGTGTTTGAGCATCATTGAAGAAACTGATCATATATAGTTCACCAAAGGCTTGTTACTCTTGAAGAATGTGCATCTTCCATACGGTCAGATTTCTGGGAAGGTTTGGAGATCGCCTTGAAGATCTACCACGAGCACTTTATCCCCACCGCCCCCTCTCCTGTTGGCTTGGGCATTCCTTGGGCCGAGATTTTAAAAGCCTCAACCTAGCCCCAAAATAGATAATAACATTTTATTGTTGAATTTTTTGTGATTATATTAGGATATATAAAACGCATCATCATACATGTATTACATTCAAACCCTATTGTTAGTATCTGATAGATCATATTATCATGAAGATAAGTGGATGAAAAGAAAAACTATTATCTGCAGGAGGGAAGGAAATTCTCCTAAAAATCTATTGTACAAGCGATCCCCACATATGTGATGTTCGTCTTTAAAATTCCTAAAATATTTACAAGGAATCACTAATGAGATGTCACATTTTCGGTGGGGAGACGAGGACAATCATAAGCGGATGGCTTGGTGAAAAATGTGTCTATCTAAAAATCAGTGGGGCGGGTTTTTGTGATATTCATTGTTTCAACCTGACAATGTTGACAAAACAAGCTTGTCGTCTTCTCGAAAATCTCGAGTCCTTATGTGCCATCATGTTGAGAGCTAAGTATTTACCTGATGGTAATTTACTGAATGTAAAGTTAAAGAAGGGTTCCCCTTTTACCTGGCAAAGTATTTACGATGGGTGGGTGGGAGGGGGGTTAATTATCTGAATCATGGTTATACATGGCGGGTTGCAAGTGATCAAAATAGTGATATTTAGGAAGATGCATCCTTTGATCATGACATGCTTAGGGGCACGACCGGTGCTATTTCGAGGGACGATAAAGACAAATTCATTGCATGAGGAAATTGAACATTGATTGGTGCATGGTTGTCCTAAAGGCTGAAGCTTTGGTGCTTAGATATGGTCTTATCATTGCTTAAAAGGCTGGTTGCCCTTCTTATCAATTCAGATAATTTAAAGGTTATTCAAACTATGAACAATGGAGGACGATCAACGAGTATGATGAGTACTGTGTTTGACGATTGTGTTTTTGGCTTGTGGTTTATTCATTACTAGTCTTGAGCATTGCAATAGAGAAATGAATAAGGTTGCCCATGAACTTATTAAGTTAGCTAGATTTTCTTTGACTTTCGACTAGTTTGAAAAGCCTTTGACTGGTATTGTACTCACCTCATAAACAATGTACTCCCTCTGTCCCAAAATAAGTGTCCCAAGTTTAGTATAAATTTGTACTTAAGTTAGTACTTTCTGTGTAAAGAAATATAAGAGCATTTAGTGACCGATCACTAAATGCTTTTATATTTATTTACGGAGGGAGTACAAAGTTCAGGCACTTATTTTTGAGACGGAGGGAGTACTTTATTTCAAATGAATAAAGTTCTGTGTTAAAAAAAAATGTATTTTGGGTTTGATCGGTCTTTCAGGCCAAAATCTGGAGCCGAGCCCGCCCCACTGTCGGGCTTTGGGCTTGGGCCGTCAGACCGGGCTGCCCATACCGAGGCCTACTCTCTCGCTCCTCCCATCTCTCACGATCCCCCCAGCGCCGCCGGAGCGCCGCACGTCCTCCACCATTCCCGCTCATCTTCTCCGCGCACGGCCTCCGAGCCCACTGCTCCGCCTCACCGTCCTCTCCCGTCGTCGGGTCCGCCGCGCTGGGGCGGGGCCGTGCACCGTGACGCCCGTGCGCGCCGGCGCGGCCTCGCCGGCGACGTCTCCGTGTGCGGCGCCCTATCCCTCCTCCGCCTCCTCCACGTCCAGGCCTCAGCACTCCCTGCATCGAGCCTCGGAATCACGTCCCCATGTCGCCTCTCCGGCAGGCGGGCCGCCGCGCCGCGCCCCACGTCCCGCCGCCGGCAGCCCCGTCCGTGTCTCGCTCCCAGAACCAGCAATGCCTTCCTCCGTGGGACGAACCGTTCTTCCCTCCCAGTCGCCACCGCTGCCTGCCTCTCCTCTGGGCTGGCGTCAGGGCTCGGATGATTTCCACTTCTCTCGGTAAGGATCCATGATTTGCTTGATGCGTGCTAGACTGGTAATCAAATCTATCAACATATTGCTAGGTTCATTGCGTGAGGTTGGTCCTAGTTGACCCTATACTAGTACTAATGCAAGCTGTTACTCTCAACAGAATAGTTGGCCGAACCCCTGTATTTGAAACCAGATCAAATTCAAGCCAGTGAGCTGATAGTAGACTCTGGTTTACCTCCACTTGAAAATATATCGGCACATCAATTCGACACTCCACGCTTGCTGAAATTGATTATGAAACGCTCCATTTTGAACTATACGCGCAATTGCGTACTGTAAGGCAGGTAGTTCCTTGTGTCAGTGTGTAACCACTAACCAATGTTTTGGGTGACTTCAGAGCATCATGATTTTACGTGGAAGACTAGTATGGCTTCGAGATTCATGCAAACCGATATCGTAAATGCTCTTCGTAAAGGTGATCGGCAGCGAGCATCCATTATGCTCTCGAATCTTCAACAAACCAAAGAAGCGTTAACTTCAGAAGATTTTTCTTATATACTGGAGTACTGTGCAGAAGCACCTGATCCGTTGGTAAATCTACTGTAGATGCATATTTTACCTAGAGCATGGAGTTTGATATAGTCATTTTGATTAGTACTCATTTTGGATGTTTGCCAATATGCATAGTTTGTTATGGAGACACTGGAGCTCATGAACGTGAAGTCCATAGATATTAGTAAAAGCCATTACAGATCTGTCACTCGAGCACTCAGCCAAGGAGGGAATTCGAAGGAGGTACGCGATATTTCTTATATAACGAATGAAGTTTTTGCCTTTGTAACTTGTGTGGGAGTTCAATCATATAAATACCCTTTTGAAACTGCTTCAAATAGAGCATCAGTAGTAGTAATATACACTTGAACCATCCAATTCACTGTTTCCTCTGTGTAAGCTGTCCAACTTTCCATTTCTTAGTGCTCCCAGCTAGTCAAAATGCAATACCGATGTATTCATCCTTTTGTACAAAATGAAGCTTCAATACTAGGCAAGGCCTTTTTTAAGGGTACTTGATGAAAGGTTATACTATTTCATGCCTTAACCAAAATGGCAAAATGATGCACCGGTTATTTCTTTCAGGTGAAGTCTGTGCATGGGCATTCCCACAAATATTTTCATGCTCGCTCATGATAGGCTCTGCAGCCATTGGTTGTAGAGAAAAAACTTCACTTACAGACCTTGAACTTTGGCGGTCATTTGCTTTCCACTCTGAAACTTCAAAACCATCTAGAAGTAAACCTTCGCGCTCACTGAGTCGGTCCGGAATCGTTGTTTTCATATGACCAGCTGGTGGTCTTAACCGATCTGACAGTGCATCCATGTCATCTAAAAGTGCTCCAAAATGCCGCAAGGGGGTCAGGTAGATGGTATAACTTAGAAGTTGAGGGCCCACTTTTAGACGGCTTTGAAGATTTAAGACGGAAAGCAGGGCCAAAGTGGACCTTTCATTGTTTGTATATACTCCCTCCCTCTCAAAACAAGTCTCAACTTTAGTACAACTTTGTACCAAAGTCGTACAAAGTTGAGACACTTTTTTTGGGACGGAGAGAGTAGTATAGTTGTAGGAGAGGGAATCAGACGGTAAGTTGTACCTTCTGCACGTAAGCTGTTATACTCTTTAATGAACCATTTTGATGAAAAAATATGTTGTTTTGTTAATCTTTGGTGCTCTCTGCAGTTCTTCTTGCACTTCTGCTCGTTTACCTGCGTATTGAATAATGCCTTATAGCATATCAGTTTTTGCAGGACATCATGTTAGCTCCTTGCAGTCTTCAAGTTGTTGACAACCATCTTTCTGATGTAGGCACTTAAATTGCTCACTCTTCTAGGGGAAAAAGAATGCTCATACGCTGCTTTGCCGATTTTCAACATCTTTTTGAGTGCCTGTAGCACAAATCTGAATGATGCTGAGAGCTGTCTAGAGATAATGGAAAACCATCTTCTTGGGAAGTCTGAAATAACATTCTGTGAGCTTCTGGAGGTTTGTATGAACAGCTGTTCAATATTGCCTGTTTATGATCTTCAGAAGTTCAGTTTCATATCTGGAGAAGGAAGTACTAGTGTACCAGAACTTACCTGTTGTGGCTGCAACTATGGGCAGACTATGTGGACTATTTGGTCCTTATTTTCTGAATCAACATCTGCTTGCGTACATTTATAATTTGTATTCCCTTCTGGTCCATCACTTAATTTCTGTCCTTTTTTGCATGTTGGTTTTAGTTTCTTTTACTTCTGTTATGAAATAGTCACATGCTTTTTCCTTTTCTGTATTTCATTTTTAGGGCGTCTATTGAGACATTCCTTTTCATGTAATGTTGTATGTCACATTTTCACACGTTTCTTGGGATATGTCAGCTTGCTTACTTGATTGATATATCTTTTCAGGTTGTAGTTTTGCAGAGAAATTTGTCTGCAGTTCATGATTTATGGAAGGACTGCACTAGGTATTACAGTCCAAGCATTGTGACTCAGAGGAAATTTGTGAAGGCTTTCTCTACACTAGGTGACCTTCAATCTGCATATCGTATCTTGCAGCATATGGTAGTCCTTGCCGGAGAACGCACTGACCATTTGAGGGTATCTTCTAAAAGGAGATGCCAATCAACAAGATTAGACATTCCTGTACCTGCTTTGCATGAAGTAGAAGATCTCAAACTTGTATCGGACTATGATCTGACATCATCATCTCAAGGGAAGATGGGAACTGGAGAATGCTTGATTGATGCTCAGCCGGAGCTGTTACGGGTGGAAACTCAATCATCAAAACATGAGCAATTGAAGGGTTATGTGTCATTTATTTCTGATGGTCTGTTCTGCATTCCAACTACATAAGCCCTGCAGTATACTTGTAAACTTAGTTTAATGATAGTTATAGAACTTATTTACTTTCAGTCTTGTTCCAGGTGACAATCTTGGTGACAATTCTGAACCAGACAATGGGAGGATGCCAAAGACATTGAGTTCTGCACCCACTGCAGTGAAGAATGTTTTGCGATGGGCTTTCAATGATATCATACATGCATGCGTGTACCTTGACAACTGCCAGTTGTCTGAGCAATTATTTCTAGAGGTAACTAGTATGTGGTCTTTTGTTGTCTTAATATATACTATGGCTTGTCGTTTTTCTGTTTGCTAAACTCTTTACCTCTAAGCAGTTCTCTTAATATATCAATCTTCTAGATGGTTGAACATCACTGTGGTGTGGTAACTTTTCCAGTGGCCTGTGTGATTTATTTCATCTGTTGTACCTGTTTCATCTAGGTCATATCAATCTTGGTTGAACATCACTGTGGTAACTTTCCAGTGGCTTATATGATTGATTTCATCTTTGTACCTGTTTCATCGGTCATATCAATTGGACTGATACTTTCTTTCTGTAATCTTTTGCTTTCGGTTTACTTTCTTCTTAAGATAGTCACAAAAACAGTGGAAATCCAAAGCTGACCCCGAACTTGCATGCACCCAGTGTGAACAGTAAATTCAAAAAGAATTCCAACCAAAAATTTTAAAAATTCTGAAATTGTTATAAAAAATGTATGAGAAACTCTTCTAGGTGCTTGCAAATTTCCGTGCTGAGATGACATCCGAGGCGGTCGGTAACAAAAAATGCTGGAGCTCGAATTTTGTTGCAGCTTTGGACATTTTGGAGCTCGGTTTTTTGTACCGAGCTCCTCGGATGTCATCTCAGCGTAAAAATTTGCAAGCACCTACAAGAGTTTCTCATCTTTGAAATTTGTTTCCTATTTTTTTGACTTTTCTGTTCACCTGGGTGTAGAAACACCCGAGAATCAAAACGCCGCTCTTCAAAAACAGAGCATGAACTCGGTTGAAGAATTAAATTCATTTAAAGTTAGTAACTGACATGTGGAGTTGCTTATCAGCAACTATTCTAGTATTTTAATTATTTACTGATTTTCTGCTTCTATTAGTGGAAAAGTGGTGGGAAGTGCGGAAATTTCATGTTTCACACCAGTGAAGTTTGATGTTTATGCTCAATGTTATTCTTTCTTCTCAGATGCACAAGATTGGACTGCGGCCATCAAGATTTACATATGATGGTTTTATCAAGTGTGTGATAGCCGGGAAAGGAGTTGCACATGCCATCAAAGTGGTATGCTATCAAAAGTTTATGACATATCCAGTTACATGAAAGGATATCTTGTTAAATATGATTGTGCACACTAATTATTTTGTAAAACCCTGAATATAGTTATGCTCTACTGTCTGAATTTTTTAGAAGCTATTGTAATTGTAATGTTAATTACTGTTTACTTACTCTGCATAAAAACTCCTATGTAAACCTGAACTGTACCTGTTCTATTGCGACTGCTAATCACTATTTAATTACTCTCCATTGAATCTACTAATGCTACTATATTTATATTCTCGTGCATTCCAGATCGAAGTGATGGATAGAAGAGGTATCAGGCCTTACGACAGTACACTCGTTGCGCTTTCCGTTGATCATAGCAAAAGCTTACAGTTGGATCTGGCTGAGCATTTCTTGGGAAGAATTTCAGATATACAACCGGAGCATATACATGCTTTTAATGCTTTGCTTTCTGGTTGTGACATTATGGTAATGTATTGCCTTTGGAAAGAGATTGTCTATCATGCCATATTTGTGTCCCTACCTCCTGTCATCTTAATTTCAGCTTGGCCATTCACGCTAAGGGTACTTGTAGGCTAATGTATGGTTTATCAATAATCTTAGTCTTTTCCTGTCTCAAAATCGTTGGTGCTCTTTGTCATACCAACGATAATAATTTTTCTTTAGTTGTCAGTGCACCTGAGTTTGCTGATTGTATAGAAATTTGAACTGCCAACAATAGTTTTTCTTTAGTTGTCAGTGCACCTGAGTTTCCTGATTGTATAGAAATTAGGACTAAATCCCCTCTTATTATTTTTGTAGAATGAACCAGAAAGAGCTCTCCGCATACTAGCGAAAATGAGGCGCTTGGATTTGAAGCCACATATCTGGACCTATGAAATTATGTTTTCTCTGTTTGGCAATGTCAATGTTCCTTATGAAGAAGGAAATATGCTATCACATGCTGATGTTTCCAAAAGGATAAGCATAATTGAGATGGACATGTTAAACCATGAGATTCGACATAGTTTTGTGTCTATGAAGAACTTGGTATGTTTACTTCACTACTTCGTATATATATAGACTTCCATCTTTTTTCCGTCTACAGTTCAGTGTGAAGAGGTGTATCACTTGAAATATTGTTGCAAGAAAAACATGCCCGTTTTTTGTAGAACTCCTAGTAAATGACTTCTGTGGGTGGTAATGAATTTTTTAATATGCTGGCTACAGGACCTCTGCTTATGGTCATTGGGAAACAGGGAGTTCACATTTTCTTGTTTCCTTTCCCTTTTCATATGAAAAATTGGTCTATCAAGAGAGTTGGCACCTGGCGCCAGTAGGGGTTAAGGATGCAACACTTAGGTGTGTAACCATTCTGTTTAGAAACAATGACGTTTTATGGCTTTGTCACATTGCTCTAGGCTGGTCGAAATTTGTTGTTCTTTGTTGTTTGTTGACGATTACTGTCCATGAAAGGAGTTGCTTCATTAAGTCTGTACCATGGCCTGTAAGATCTGTTCAAACTAGCACACGTCAGCATATGTTATCCTGTCGCACCAGCATTCCCAGTATCTTATCTGAGTTACAGTGCCTAATCCGTTAGATTTATAATGCTTAAAAAAGGGAAGCCAAGTTTTAATCTATCTGAATAGGATGTCTCAGTCATTTGCATGTGATGTGAGGTTGGACTTCACTTGCTAATATGAGTGCGCTACCCTAGTCTAGGAGAGTAGGAAGCACTTCGCAATGAATGGGATTCACAACATTGCTTGTGTGTTAATAATGATCTAATGGGAATATGAACCATGGTTTGTATAATATGCTCAAACTAGCATACCATTTGGTCAGTCACGCCCAAGACCTCACTGGCTTGAAATATCACCATGATAATTGTCAAAGTTCTTGTTTAGATTGCTAAGATCACTTGTCACGTCTCATTATGATCTTCGATACTTCTTACAATGATAGCATGCATCGAAAGTCTTGGTATTTTAATTTACATCATATTATTTCAGATACGAGCCTTTGGAGCCGAGGGAATGATAGATGAAATGCTGAGGTACTTGAATGTTGCTGAGAATGTTTTATGGAACATGGATCCTTATCAGAAGAGTGATCTCTACGGCATTGTGCTGCATGCTTTGGTTAAAGCAAAGGAAGTAAGGATCTACGTCCTTTTACCATTTATTTTGTTATATTAAATGACGAACTGGGTTCAGTTTTTCTTGCAAGCAATTTTTTATGCTTTGTTGAATTCTTGAAAGTTGTTGAATTCGACAAACCTCTTTCTGGTTTGCAGACACCTAAGGCAATAAGAACCTTCAAGATCATGAGATCATGGGGTCTCCCAACCAATACTGCCATTTATAGCATCATGATAGAGTGCTGCAAATTGTTGCCGTGTGTCAAATCAGCTGGCGCTTTGTTGTCCTTGATGTTCCGAGATGGCTGCTGTCCTACGGTTGTGACTTTCACATCTCTCCTGAAGGTAAGGCTAGTTAATTGCAGTGCCGTTACTACTCACCGTGTAATGCACTGCTAATTCTTTCCTTTAGTTAATTTGAATTTCTGGGCCCCATTTGCTTGAGTCTGATGTCATGTTTTTCCATGGAAGGTTGTATTAGCAAAAGAGGATTTTGAGGGGGCACTGGATCTGCTGGACTTGTGCATAACTGAAGGAATTCAACCTGACATTGAGATTTTCAACACAATACTCTCAGAAGCGAATGCAAAAGTATGTCTATGATATAATTTTTCAACTCGTCACCCCGAAATGATGCCCAAGTGGAACTCATGTTTGGTCATTCTTGACAGGGTAATATTCATGTTGTTGAATACATTGTTGAGTGTATTCACAGAGCAATGATTCGACCCGATGAATCAACACTTTGGTACACATTTTGTGCCTACGTGGACCAAGAACTGTACAACACCGCACTCGAGGCATTGCAAGTCCTCAGTATGAGAATGATATCCTTGGACGCGAGCATTCTCAAGGAGAAAGGAGCAGCTTTAGAGGATCTAATCCTCAGCGAAGATCCAGATGCTGAATTGAAGATCATTAGGACATTCAAAGCAACTGAAGAATGCAGCGCCGCAGCCTTACTGAACCTGAGGTGGTGCGTGACGATGGGTTCCACCATATCCTGGTCTCCCGAGGACAATCTTTGGGCGAGGAGACTGGCATCCTCTTACGATGCTAACAAGAGACCCGTGTCATGAAATCTGTGCCGGTAATCACCGGTCTGTTGCG